AGCCCCACATATCATGAGATAGGAATCAGTTGGGGAAAACTCCAACTCTTAATCTGACTGGTTATATATAGTTATATGTGAAAACAAAGTCTAAAGCTTGAGCAAGAGACAATTCATATCTCTAATTTCTGATGAATTCAACGCACATCAAAATCTATTGAATATACGTGAAACCCTGTTCAAATAAACTATAGTCATCGAAAAGCATTACAAAAACATCAGTCCAAACTGTAGGATTCCAACTGTCTATCACTTACACCATGGATATGATGGGTGATAAGTCCTGACTTACACATATATTCAAAATCTGCTTATATTTCTGAATGCAGTGAAGAGCACAACTTATTCCCAGCCTCCACTAAGTTATAAGTCAAAGTGATTGAAAAGTACACTCAAACCACCTCAGATAATTCGCTAAACACGTTTAAGCTAAATGTAAAAGCAAAATTTTCCAAGGAAACATCTCTTTTGGATCTAGTCTCATAACATTACTGGTTAGTAGAAATTACAAGATACATGTACCAAAACCTTCAACATCATTTGCTTGTACTTCTAAAAATATCACAAAGTCCAAACTTCGTAAAATCAATCGGTATACATCTTTTCACAATTTACAACAAGAGTCACCGTGAAAAATGCAATGACTAAACCCCAGAAAAGATACGCAATAGTATAAAATGATATAAATAGGAACTCAAACTTACCTAAGATAGAGAGCCAACGATTGTGAACATAAGGGGAAGACTTGGATTTTGAGGTCCTCCAGTCCAGAGAAAATAATGCAGAGCGTAGACAAAAATCAGCAGGCATGTAGTCAGCAGGATGGCAAAGTTTGGGAATGCCAGGCTTGCCAAAACTCTGGGGCAAACTGCCACCCAGAATATTCCCTTGCCACATGACTAGCTCAAGCTCTCATTGGACAACTTTAAAAGATGTCACACGACTCCAATACTGATTGGTCATTTAGTATCTAGGCAGATGAGCACTCAGCAAAAGTTTATGGCTTTCACAGCTTGGGTACGGTATGAATAGCAACTATGGATTAAGTGTCTCAACATCCTGCTGATTTCCTATAAAATTTACTGGGAGTGTACACACTGGTGTACTAGTCAGAGATTAAAGGCAGTGGATACAAAGAGCATCCTGTGATCTCCTAGGAAAGAAGGAACATTAAAGATAAACTGAAGGAAGAGCAGGCTATTTGACAAAAGGAATAGGCAATAGATCAAAGGTTCACCACTGGAACACTGTTTAGGAAAGAACAATTTAAGTATGCAAAAGGAAATATAGTCATGAATTATAACCCAAGACCTCTTTGGGACGGGGTTACAGGAGAAACTTCAAATATCATAGACACTGACACTGTTTCCTCTACAACCATGCAGAGTGCAAAATTAGACCAAAAAAGATCAATGGCACTGCTGCTGGTAGTGGCTCAGAGGAGTTAGCTACAATTGCGCTTCTCCATAAATATGGCCAAGTTGGTTTTCCAAACAAAAAAAAAAGATAGACTATTGTTTATACAGGAGTTAGTTTCTATGTAATAGAGACGTTGAAGTCAGAAGTTGCTTATGAATTTATACCACCTTCCTCTATGTGCTACCTCTGCCCGTGGTCTGTCC